GACACCCTCCAGGTCTAGATCCATAGCGTTCTGTAGAAACAGGGTCACCTCTTGAAGGATGCATTTCGCGCACTATGGTCTTGATGTGGGAGTGGCTAGGGTCCCCTGTATGCTATGTTACGCTTCATCCACACCCTGCATTTTCGCTCGACACCCCCAAAATAGTTTGCTACTTGTAGCAGTTATGCTGTATACCTGATGAAATATAATGCTTGGTGAACAAATCTATTTGTGGCCTGTTGTTCAAGGGCATATGTATATATGTATGTATGTACGTTGCGTTGGCGTTGAATCCAAAATTTGGCAAAGCTAAGGCCAACACAAAGCAGAAAGATCGCTGCATCGCACAGAGGTCCAATGAGCAAAGCTAGGGAAATTTAATTAAACTTTTTGTTTGTAATTTTTCAATAAAATTTGTATCAACTATGAAAGAATGTTGTCTACTTAAGAGTAAATAGAACTTTGTTTGAAAAAATTTGGCTACATATAAACATAACGGTATCCAAAAAGTCATAGTAAGCAATAAGTGAAAAATGAAATTGTGCGTGCATCGAAAACTGAGTATTTTTAACGCTCAATAACTTGTTTAAAGAATCTTTGCTTTACTTCATTTCTCTCTCCGTCATTGTTTTAAGTAAGAAAATTCAGGAAATGTGAAAATTATTACCGAAGTGGACGCACATATTTTTTTGGAGCTGATAAAGTTTTAATCTGTTTGGTGAGTACCAAACTATTATGATTTTTTTTGTAGACGAAATCTTTCTTATATGGCGAAATATAGATCACTTACTATACATATTCTCTCAATTGATGTATATACTAATAACAATAATAATAGATTGGCGCTTACACATATGTTAGTGTTTGGCCGAGCTTCTCCTCCGATTTGTGGCGTGCGCCTTGATGTTGTCACACAAAGCGGAGGGACCTACAGTTTTACGCCGACTCCGATCGGGGATTGTAGTTTTATGAGAAGCTGTTTTTCATGGCAGAAATACACTCGGAGGTTTCCCATTGCCTGCCGAGGGTCGACCGCTGTTAAGAAAAAACCTTTTTTCTATATTTTTTGCGATGTTGCTTTGACCAGGGTTTGAACCCGGGCGTAGCGGAGTGGAAGCGCGCACTGCTGACAGTGACACCACAGTGGTCGACGATGTATATACTAATAGATCCACAAAAAAATTCTGCGGCTAGCTGCGGCACTCATACATTTATTTTCAATTTGCAAAATGAGTCCCAGAATTTCAAGACAGAAAATGTTTGGTTTTTGGCATTCGACCCCTAAAAATGAAAGACTTGATGGAATAATGGATTTTGTATCTGGTAATGTCAGTTTAAGATCTAGTGATAAAATCAAATTTGATAAATTGAAATCATACGTGCGAAGCCTAATTCAGAACTTGGACCTAAAGTGAACAAAAGTCTTCCGAAAAAGAGAGCTTTTTGTTACTGCAAATAAAAATTGGCTTGAATTTGAAAAAGACTTGTCACAATTTGTGTGTTCTCAGTTTGGTAAGCCGACATTTTCTGCTGGTAGGCCAGCTAAAAGTTTCGGAGATTGTTGCCAAAAAGTTAAAATGAAGAAAGCTAATGAGCTTTCGAAAGTTATCGAACCAGATGCTTACTTCATATATCTTACTAGCTGTTACCCGCGGGTTTCACCCCACGTCAGAAGGCATTAAAGGGGTCATGTGACTTGTGGTACCGAAGTTATGGCTGATAGAAAATTCCACGGCTATATAAAGTGTTACGCTCTCTTTTACAAACTCATTTATATATACCTTACTATAAGCATCTACCATAGATATGTCTGCATACCAAATGTCATGTTTATGTGACTTATGGTTCCGAAGTTATAACTGGTAAATATTCCACACCTTTGGGATTCATTATATATATACCTTACTATAAGCACCTACAATAGATATATCTGCATACCAAATTTCAAGTTCATGTGACTTACGTTTCCGAAGTTAGAGCTGATTAAATAATTCACGTCTATTGGAGGTTCCACGCCCCCTTTTCCAATATCGCCCATATTTTTCCATGAGTATGGAATTAATTTTATTTATCTCGACAGCAAGTTCCAATGGTCTATCACAAATATTTCAAGAGATATACAACATCAAATTTTTAGTTAGTATAGGAGGTGCCACGCCCTCGTTTCCAGTACTGCCCAAAGAAAAAGTTTTAAAAAGAAAACAAGAAATCTAAACCCAATTTCGAAATCAGATTGGAATCTTGATTGATATGCCCAAGGCCAAATCTGGAACAGCAATGCTGGTTATACGGCTAAACGCTTTTTTAAAAATGCAAAAATATGAGCACAAACAACTGGCCTAGACCTGAAGCTTATAAATGGATTTTGCTCTATTTCGGAATGTTTAAACTCTGGATTGCCAATCAATGTGAAAGAATTTAGCGACTATGCCACGGAAACGGAAAATCTATATTTGAAGAGTGGATACCAACACAGACTAGATGCACAGATTATTGATATCGTCTGACCCGTACATAGCGAGTTTGAGAAAAACTTTTAAGAATAAACACAAAGTTTTAACAGGAGAAGTTCTTTCGTTGCTCGAAATTCCGCAGCTGAATCAGGGCAACGAAGATAACAGTTCTGACAATTTTTCAGACTATGACTAGCTTTAGGTAAGACGTTTAAGTTGTTAAGCTTGATCTGACTTTTTAACAGTTTTTTATTTTATACATATATTAGGTGACTGATTCGGATCCGGTGTCAATACAGTATAGACATAACGGACTTTCTATTTTTAATTCATCCCAAAGAGTATATACACTGGCGATCAAAAGTGAGGCCATGATGATTTTCGTTAAATATTTACAATGTTTTTCAAGTTAGAATTTATTTGTTAATTATTTTTAAAAATTCGGATCATGCTTTAATCAAAGTCAAACTTTAAAACTGTATACAGAATTTGGAAAAATTCAACAAATTTTCATCAAAATTTTGAACTTGCTAATCCAAATATTTAAAAAAGTTTTAGGTGTGAAGGTATCTATAACAAAAACTTTTAACTTGAAAGACATTGTAAATATTTAACAAAAATCACCATGCACTCACTTTTGATCGCCAGTGTACCTCATATTATCTTATTAAATTTAATATAATTTAATTAATTTGTAACAAATATGAATTTGCATTATAATCTTTGTTTATGCCGTGCGCAAGTGCTTAAAAAATATACTAGAAATTGATGAAAAATTTAACGCTTTTTTAATTAAATGGTTGGTAGGCGTGGTCGCTATTCGATCTTGCCCATTTTTGGACCAGAAGTTGTTAGTCATCCAAACATAATTCGTGCAAAATTTCATCCCAATATTTATCTTAGTTCTTTATATAATAATTAAATTACCCTACTAGAGCAGATTGGACCACTCTGCGTCGGTCGCCAGCTGTCGCAAATAAAAAAAATTATATGAAATGTTTTTTCCTTTTAATCAAATGAGGAAAGAGGAAGAGGAAGAAATATAATTTTTCATGCAATTATTGATATGAAATATTAATTTATCTCTCGTTAATATGTTAATTTAGTGGCCAAAGTAGTCTCTGCCAAGCTTCATTGAAGAACGCATACTTTTAACGTGCGTTCTATCAAACCAACGCCAACTACAAAGTCAACGCGAAAGTTCTATGTGGACCAGCCTTAATTATCAAATACTGTTTAACATCCCAAATAGTAGTTTGTATTATACTACATACATACATATGTATGGGGACTAAACCAGGAATATTCATTTGAAAATGCTAATGTCCTACTCATTTATGAAATGAAAGACAAAATAATGATATTGATAAATATTATATTCTCATTTATACATATGTAACATAGTTACTTGGCTGGATTACTTAGTAATTACTTGTAGAGAAGAATACAAAGACCAATTATTTATCAGAAGCATTGCCCACAACTAGCAATAGAATTTTCCGCTGCGATAACCACCGCCGCATTTCAATAGTAGAAATAGAACTAAGAATTACAAATGTAAAGTAGTCTTAAGAATATGTAAATAAAGAAAGCACGCTCACCGTGCAGAAAAAACATATATTTTTTGAACTCATATCGTGTAAACGATATTAACTGGGGGCTCAACCGGGATGACAATACGTTTTGTCATCTAAAACCAAAATCCTTGAAATACAGGAAACCATAAATTCCACGGTCTTGAAGAAAGAAAAAAAACAGTTTCTGAAAAAGTGAAATAACACAACTATTCCTGAAAAACGGAACAATAAAAAATTTCGAAGAAGTCCATGCGATTCACCGCGAAATGAAAGCAATCCTATCCGATAATTCTACCAAACGACTACGAAGTATTAACTAACCCCATTTCTCCTCTTTAAGATTTCAAAGAAGTGAAGACACAACAAATATGGCCGAAGCAGCACAACTAAGAGCACAAACTGATGCCAGTTCCAACAACAAACCCTGCAAGTAAATGCCCTACAACAGGAGCTTAGTACTGTAAAAGGAAACCAAACCGCCTTCCACAATATCACCACCATTACAGAACACGAGGAGATCCCTCTTGCAATAACAAACGCCAACGAAATCGATTTGGAGCTATTCAAAGCTTTACCCAAGTTTGATGGGGACAAAAACGCGTATCGTTCATGCAGATGACAAGTCTGGAAGCTTATGGATGACATTAAAGTTCACAGGACATCCTAGATATTATAGTGCAGTGGGGATCATCCGTACAAAAGTAATAGGAACAGCAGCCGACATACTTAGCAATCACAACACGAAATTAAACTTTTAATCGATTATAAATCGATTGGATTATACGTTTGCGGACCAAAGACCCTTGTATGTGTTATTAGACGAGATGAAAAAAATTTATCAAGGAAGAAAGAATGTATGCGAATACCATAGCGAAATTAATAAGGCACTTAACCTTGCGCTTTCAAAAATTGAAATGTCGCATGAACAAAACGGTGAAGCCGTTAAAACATATGCAAACCAAGCTGTTCGTACATTCATTATGGGACTGAATAGCAGATATACAAGTGGAACCTTGTACAGCCAAAACCCAAGAGACTTAGAGCGTGCGTATGCTATTGCCAGCACAATTCACCACGATAACCATAATCAAGAATTTGAAATGCAACCAAGATATGCCCAACAAACAAGAAGCCACCCGCAACCAGGGTATGTCCAACAAACAAGAAGCCACCCAGGAGAAGAACGCTTCCCTCAACGAAATGAATGCCCAACATATAATCCAGGGATACATGTGCAACGCAACAAATTTATTCCACACAACGAACGTTTAAATAAACCGATATCTATGGAATTGGACAACTCTAGGCAGTTTATGAGGCATACTCAACACCAACAGGGATATCAGAATCCTTTCAAAAGGGAAAGAAACTCATCCTCACACAACTTCAATCAATACAAGCAGCAGGGGATCAACCAAACTCATCAAACTGAAGCCGAATCTACCACATCTCATTTCGAGGAACAGTACGAAACCGGAAGTACTTTTTTAGGCGAGTGAACGGGCTGCCCTGCATCCAAACAAAGTGCGGTCTTACAGGCACACCCGTTACTATCTTAATCGACACAGGATCTACAAACAATTATATAAGTATCAACTGTAATATTGGTAAGTCAGTACCTATTAAACCTATAAAAACAAAAACTATTCACGGATATTCATTATTGAAATCTAAATAAATTGTAACTTTGTTTAGTCATCATATGCCTTTTTTTGAAATTGATGAGCTACAAGAATTTGATATGATAGTAGGTGAACAAGGACTTAGAGTTATAAAAGCAGAAATAAACCTATTCGACTACAGTTTAAAGTACCAAAAGAAAATTGAGAAAGCAGAAGATGAACAAAAAATAAATTACACAATTAATAACAAAGAATATGAGGATGATATTAGGGAAATGATGAGGAAAAATGACGAAATTAGTGAAGTCTTATCTTTTACCACAACTATCCAAGCAACTATTAGAACGAATAATGAAGATTCTATTTGGACTAAACAGTATCTTTATCCCATGTCAGATAACGATTTTGTGAATACAGAAATCCAGAAACATCTCGATAATCATAATTCAACCAAGTAAAAGTCCATACAACTCTCCGATTTGGACTGTTCCGAAAAAGGGCACCGATGAAAAAGGAAAACCAAAAAGAAGAATGGTTGTAGATTATCAGAAGATTAACGCTCAAACAATAACAGACAGATATCCTATCCCTGATGTAAATATGACTATTCAAAACTTAGGAAAAACAAAAATATTTTCTACTATAGATTTGGAATCAGGATTCCACCAAATACTAATAAAGGAATCAGACAGAGAGAAAACCACGTTTTCAGTAAACGGCGCTAAGTATGAATTTATCAGGATGCCTTTGGGTTTAATAATGCACCCTCAATATCTCAGCGATGCGTAGATGACATTCTCCGCCAGTATATTGGAAAATTCGCATACGTATACATAGATGACGTGTTAATATATTCCTCCTCACCCGAAGAACATATAGGACATATAAGAACTATCGTAAACGCCTTGCATAATGCCAATATGAAAATCTCTAACGAAAAGTCAAATTTTTCCAGAACTCAGTCGAATACCTAGGACATATAATAAAACACAATAAAGTAACTGTAGATCCCATGACATTAAAAGAACTCAGATCATTCTTAGGACTAGCTAGCTACTATAGGAAGTTTATTCAAAATTTTGCAGCGATGACTAAACCTTTGACAATACACCTACGAGGCGACAATGGTATAATTAGTAAAAACAAAAGTGCTAAAGTAGAAGTTAAATTAGATGAGGCAGCTCTAGAAGCTATTGAGAAAATCAAGGATGCGCTTCAAGCTCATGTAGAACTTTATCAACCTTACTTCACGAAACCCTTTGATCTGACTACAGATGCCAGAAATTTCGCTAAGGGCGCAGTACTGTCCCAGGCAACCTATCGCTTTTGTTTCACGAACACTCAATGAAACTGAGCAAAATTACAGTACTAATGAAAATGAACTTCTAGCTATTGTATGGGCCCTACAGAAATTAAGAAATTACTTATATGGAATTGCTAATTTGACAATATGTACAGATCACCAATCTTTAATTTACTCTATATCCTCTATAAAAGAACCCAAATAACAAGTTAAAGAGATGGAAGAATTTAATAGAAGAATATGGCGCGAAATTAGTGTATAAACCAGGACATCAGAACGTAGTCGCTGATGCTCTATCAAGGCAACAAATAAATACGACCCCTGATTGTTCAGAACACTCAGCAGAAAGCTCACCCGTGTATCAGTTCAAAAAAACTCTTTTCGCAACCAAATTATACCAATTCACGACGAAAATAGAGACGAAATTGTGTCACAGCTTATCTTTACAAATAATACACGACATATAATATAATGTTAATATTGTAGAATTTAAACTTAATCTTTTTACTGTATTCAATTAACTGTAATTAGTCTGTAAAATATTTTTTCTGTAGACTGAACAAATAAATAAATAAATAAATGAATAAGTAACGAACGCTGTAAAACTAGAAGAAGAAATTTTATTTAATCTCAAAAACATATTCAACAATTTTTATAATGAGCTCGAGGCCATTTTTAAATGAAAAATTTATTGTGGAAAAGCAACAACAATTTGAAAAAATGGTAGAAGTGATAGCTATTTCGGAAATCACCACATTTCCTCATCAGACTTCTTTCAGTAGGATTCGAACCGACGATCCCACTGACTCAGCCAGTTGCCTATGCAC